AGGGCATTTTGGGCATTTCCATGGATTGGCGACACTTGTCCTCCACTATCTCAGCCCTATTTGACCAGCTTTGACTCTCTCTCTCTCTCTCTCCCGGCCATCTCCTCCTCCGTGACCGTCCTCCTCCTCCGCCGGTTGCCCTTCGTCGTTCGTGAGCCGACCGCCGGAGACGCCGCTCGCCGGAGCTTAGCCGGTCGCCGCCGTGCCGTCACCGTCTCAGCCTCACCTCGCCAGCACCTCCATCCCGTCTCATCTCTCTCTCCTCCGTTTTCTCTCTCTCGGCCAAAGGACCGCCGGGAAGCCGTACGCCGCCGGTGCCGTCGCCGCCGTCCACACCGCACTCAAACCGCCACCCAAGCTCACTGAACCACTCTCCCTTCCGCCGCCTCAGCCGCCGTATGGACGTCAAGGACCGCCGTCCGTACCGCCGGATCCGTCGCCGTCGCCGTTCGCCGGGAACGCCGCCGCCGTTCGCCGGGAACGCCGCCGCCGGTTTCACCATCTACCAGTGATCGGCCCCCGTTCCTCGTTGTCGTGACTTAGAATTTGGTGAGTGTACCTCCTAAGCCCATATTAGGACTGATAGTGCGTTTTTGGACTGGCTTGGGTATTGTTAGTGTAGATTAAGAGAAATTTGGGAACCGATTGGTAGAGGTTTTAGTCGAGACAATTTGGAGGATTAATATGATTTAATTGGAAATGATTATTGGCTTCGGAGTGGCTGCTTGGTGGCTGTCCATTGGTGGTTTATTGGGCTAGAATAGGCCAATTGAGGTCCTTGTAGTTGAATTGCCGGGATTGCCCGGGTTGGTTGATTTATGAGTGAATTGTGCTTAATCGTGCTACGCCATGTTATGTGCTCGTGTGGCCGAATCGTGCGAAGAGTGATTGGCCAACTGATGGTTTGAATTGATTATTGAGTTGTACATTGTAAATTGGGCCGCACGGTATTAATTGGCCAAGTGAGCATGTTGTTGTGAATGGAGCACATTGTTGTGGCATGAATTTGACTGGATGCTCGAATTATATTGGATGCTCATGATGCATTGTGCTGTATTGCATGGCTACGCATTGTGTATGCCGAGAATGGGGCATGAGAGAGAATTGTGCGAGAATGCGTGCCTGACATGACCGTGTGATCACCTAATCGCCCTGATGCGTGTTACGCGGGGTGTGCCGTCCTCATGCACTTTGAAGCAGGACGATGCCCGGTACGTCCGGAAGACGACCAACCTGATGCGTTTTACGTGGGCTCTGGTTCGTGAGGAGACCGGTGTTGCGCCTCATGCACTTTGTAGCAGGCTAGAGACACCGGGCCTGGGGCGTTTTTACGCTGGCCACGGAGTGTTGTGAATATGTGGACCTGTTGCATAGGCACGGGACAGACCTGATGCGTTTTACGTGGGTCGTATTAAATGATAATTGAGCATTGAGCCGGTGTGCGAGTGTGCAAGACTTGGTGAATGACATGCGAAGCGAATTTTATTGAGCATGAACATGCGTTTGGCATACGTGTGACTATGTGTACCACATATGTGCTGTGATCATTATATATATCAATCTGTTTAACCTGCAGGGTCAGCCAGGTAAGTGATCTGGGCCCAAGGGCCTAGGTCGGAGGTTAAGTATGAATTGTATTGTTATATTTGTTATGGGTTGCCTGTCAGGAGAATGCATGCTAGCCTAGCCTAGGTTTAGGGATTGTACTCGCTGAGATTCTTCTCACGGTTGTAATAACCCACCTTTTCAGATCCCCAGCCCTGAGCATGGTGAGGCCGCCGCCTCTTTTTGGGATCCCTACGTAGATCCATTCGACTTCGAGAGTATACCCATCTGGGAATGAGGAAGCTTATGTGAGATATCATTCTGTAGTGTTTGTAAACGTGGGTGAGTATTTTTACCAGACCCAAGAGTACGTGGCTTGGTGCTTGAAAGACGCAGATGGAAACATTGGGCGACCCCTAAGGACATTTGACGCTCCGGTAGATATAGGTGGGGTGATGATACCTCAGATGGCCGATGGCGAGGTTGTAGATCCCCCAACCGCAGATGAGCCTGTGGCTATGAACCAGGAGCCAGGCGTATGGTACGAAGACCCCGAGCAGATGGACGATGAGGAGGTCGAGCTGGAACCGGAGCCTATGGACCAGGACCCGAGCAAGAACGAAGAGGTTGCTGAGTTGGGATCAGATGTAGAGATAGGATCAGAGGAAGAGCTAGGACTGTTTCTGGACCCGGAGTTAGAGATCAATTCAGAGGATGAATGGGCAGCTGCTCAGTTCGCAGAGTCGGAGGAGTCCGAGTCGAGTGAGAGGTCTTCAGAGGAGCCTATGGAGTCTTCGGACCCGGACTAGGAGCCTTAGGAGAGGCTGGAGTTTAGTAGTGGGGACTGTTCCTTTTTTACTATAGTCCTCCTAGTAGGTCTAGTTTGGCTCACCCTTGCCACCTACAATTTTTGCTTAGTAGTGGCTGCTAGCAAGTTTTTGGGACGGTTGTTCATGTTGATATGTTTATGTAAATGTTTTAAAAGAACTTTTGATAGTAATACAAAGCGTGCATATTTCCAGCTGTGTTTGATTGTGGTCTGGCTGCCATTGTCTCGTATACTTACTGTCAGGGTTTGTTTATTTATTGCTTCCGCTTGTGCCTTATTCTCTGTTTGGGCTTTAGGTCGGCGGCGCTTCCTGGGACGTCGCAAACATATCGACCAAGGCAGGGATGTTTCGTGCCATGGGGTTCGGGGCTTGACACTTTGAGCTCCAAATCATTAGGCACACACAATCGTCCTCGGAACTTCAAAATTCCGTCCTCATTCATTTGGAATTCCGGTTTCCTTGCAGCGGTATCCAATCTAACAATCTTTTGTATTTCTTGATCGGTAGACTGGAGTGCCTTAATCCTTGCCTAGATCTCCGGTTCAATTCTCAATGCAGCCATCAGGCTAGACATCTGGCTCACCTCAAATTTAAACTCCGAGTCTCTAAGTCTTTCCAACAAAGTCCACTCTTTGACCATCACAAGCGCCATACTTGACTTGCGACTTAGCGCATCCGTTACTCTATTCGTCTTTCCCGGGTGATACATGATATCGCAGTCGTAGTCTTTCAGAAGTTCCATCCATCGGCGCTGCCTCATATTTAATTCCTTCTGAGAAAACAGATACCTAAGGCTTTGATGATCCGTATAAATCTGGAACCTTTCTCCGCATAAATAATGTCTCCAGATCTTAAGAGCAAAAACAATTGCTGCCAGCTCTAGATCATGCGTCGGATAGTTCATTTCATGCGGTCTCAACTGACGTGACGCATACGCAACTACCTTTCCGTGCTGCATCAGGACACAACCAAGTCCCCTTAACGAAGCATCACTAGAAACCTCGAATCCTCCCGGCCCAGACGGAATAGTCAACACTGGGGCCGTTGTAAGCCTATGCTTCAACTCCTGAAAACTTTCCTCGCACTTATCGTCCCATTCGAACTTAGATTCCTTCTTAAGCAGTCGCGTCAATGGCATGGCTATCGACGAGAATCCTTCTACAAAACGTCGATAATAGCCAGCCAATCCAAAGAAACTTCGGATCTCCGTTACTGAGGTCGGTCTTGGCCACTTCATTACTGCCTTAATCTTTGTCGGATCCACGGAGATTCCATCTCCAGAAACTATATGTCCAAGACACGCCACTCTGCTTAACCAAAACTCACACTTACTGAACTTAGCAAAGAGTGTGTGTTCTCTCAAAGTTCGTAGCACCTCCGTCAAATGTTCCTCATGCTCTTCCGGGCTTTTCGAATACACCAATATGTCGTCGATGAACACTATGACGAATCTGTCCAAGAACTCCTTGAACACTTTGTTCATTAGGTTCATGAAAGCTGCAGGGGCATCGGTCAATCCGAAGGGCATCACTGTAAACTCGTAGTGCCCGTACCGCGTCCTGAAAGCGGTCTTAGGAATATCCTCCTTCCGGATTCTCAGCTGATGGTATCCCGTCCGCAAATCAATCTTAGAAAACACAGACGCCCCTTACAACTGGTCAAATAGGTCATCAATCCTCGGCAGTGGATACTTATTCTTAATCGTTACTTGATTCAACTGCCGGTAATCAATGCACAACCTCAATGTCCCGTCCTTCTTCCTTACAAACAGGACCGGTGCTCCCCATGGAGACACACTAGGACGAATGAAGCCTTTATCCAACAATTCCTGCATCTGGACTTTCAGTTCTTTCAATTCTGACAAGGACATCCGATATGGTGCTTTTGAAATCGGTTCTGTGCCCGGTGCCAATTCTATTACAAACTCCACTTCTCGCTCTGGTGGCAAACCAGGCAATTCCTGAGGAAAGACCTCGGGAAAATTACATACTACCGGAATCTCTCCCAACTTAGGTTCTGCCACGGTCAGATCAATCACATTTACCAAATATCCTTCACAACCTTCGTCCAACAACTTCGTTGTCTCAAGCGAGGAGATCCAAGGGATCGAGGTTCCTCCTCGGTTTCCCTAAAATTCAAATCTAGGATGACCAATCGGATTAAACTGGATCACCCTATTGCTGCAATCCACTATAGGTTTCTGCTTAACTAGCCAATCCATCCCGACGATCACATCAAAATCGAACATGGCCAACACTGCCAAGTCGATGCTTTCTTCTCTACCCCCAATCACTACTTTACAGCTATGACACCCCAATGTCACTAACACTTTATCATTCAATGGGGTTGTCACACAAAGCATGATCTCAAGCAAAACGGGTTCAATTCCAATCAATCTAACAAACTGCTCTGAAATAAATGAATGGGTCGCCCCCGGATCAAACAACACATATGCAGCATGATCACATAGAGAAATCGTACCTGTGACCACGCCCGGCGTATCCTCCGCCTCTCTACGCGCCATTACATAAACTCGTCCTTGTGCTGGCGGCCTGCCCTGATTAGCCGGTGGGGGATTCCCGGCTTGATTCCCTATTCAGGGTTGCTGCGGTTGCCCTGGGGGTCCTAAAGGGCGCTGCTGGGGACAGCTTTTAATTTGATGCTCCAACTCCCACATCTAAAACATGCCCCAACTCGATTCGGTTGAGGGTTTGGCTTTCCAATATTCCTTCTGGCGGGTGGGACGAAGCGCCTATTTTCTATCATCGGTCTCTTTAAAAAGTGGTGATTGTCCCTATTCTGAGTAAACCGCGATCCAGATACGGCTGCCCTGTCGACCTGGTCCCCCTCAAGAGCCCGAGCTCTATCATAAATGTCCTCATAGGTTCTCAAATTTGCCGGTATCAACTGGGTACGAAAGTCAGCCTTCAACCCTTCCCGGAACCTTCGTGCCTTATCCTCGGGACGTTCTACCATCCTTGGCGCAAACTTGGACAATCTAGCGAATTCCGCCTCATACTGATCTATAGTCATTTGACCTTGGCGGAGTCGCATAAATTCTGCTATCTTCCTTTCCCTAGCACTTTCCGAGAAGTATTTCCCATAAAAATTCTCAGTGAACCCTACCCAAGTCTGGGCGACACCTTCCGGAAACACTCGACCTCTGGTGGCCTTCCACCAGTCATTCGCAATTTCCTGCATCTGGTACACTGCCAGAGTTACCTTCTCCTGCTCGGTGCACCCCAACACCTCAAACGCCTTTTCTAGTTCCTCTATCCACCTTGGTGCAGCTTCGGGGTCACCTTTCCCGGTAAACTTAGGTGGCTTTAACTTTAAAAAGTGCTCTACTAGCTGATGCATCTGTCTGTTTACCGCCATTTGAGCCTGTCCCTGATTGGCATTATTCTCATTTACAGCAGCGGCGGCTGCAGCCTCAGCAGCCTGGGCCATGGCGGCGACTCTTTCCTGAGCTTGCCTACCCATAATGTTCCCTATCTCATGCAAAGTCTGAATCACATCATCCATTCTTGGATCTCTGGCCTCCTGCACTAGATTGCCCCTGGGGTTCCTTTCCTCGACGCCTCATGGTACTGATCTCACTACCCGCCTACCTGCTATAATTCCACTAGGAATCAGAGACCTAAACCAACTAAACCGGTCTAAGGTCCTAGGCAGGTAGCTATCACAACAACAATTAATCACTTAGCATGCGACTAAGCACAAACAACACAGGACCACAAACAAGGAGGTATACATACTCACCTCAGGTCCTGCCGCACCTGCACTTCATGAGTCAATTCACACAACCAATCAAAACACAAACAGTCAGGAGGTACTCTTAGCACACAAGGTCACCCTACTGGCTACCCAAGGTTATCGCTCCTTATCACTCCAGGTTTCGACCTGATTGGACCGAGCTGACCTTGCTCTGATACCAATTCGGATGGGGATGTCACGCCCCATACCGCACGAACCGCTACATCCCACACAAAGGTCGAATTGATGCGACGTCCCAGGACGCGTCGCCGATCCAACGCCCAACGCGCACAGAGAATCATTACACAAGCGGAAGCAACGTATATAAATAGATATATACACTCGAACAATTCGCAAGATAATTAAGGATAGCGCGACAACGGGAATTCATATTATTACAAACATACTTTTGCATTACCAAGGGAATATACACAACATCCATCTATAAGGAGTACAACAAGAAACCAAAAACAAGTCAGCGGCCACTATGATCAAAAAGGGACAGTGGCCTGGGAGGTTAAGGATACTAGACTAAGGCGAAGCTCTAATCAAAAAGGTGCAGCCCGATCTAGCTTAGCTGAGGCCAACTTAGGGGACCCAGTCCGAGTCAAAACCAGAAGACTCTGAGGATGAAGAACTATCAGGCAACTCCTCCTCTGAATCTAATGAGTCCAACTCGGACTCAGCCTCCTCGTCCTCTTCATCCTCATCCATAGGCTCTGCCACGCCCTGCAGCTCCATGGGTTCAGGTTCCTCCTCTGCTTCCATCGGCTCCACGTCATCGACCTCCCAAGCGTAAGGTTCGGCTCCTGAATTCGAACTCCCATCAGACGAGGCATCAGGGCTAACCACTTCTCCATCGGGACACTGCGGGTCTACTCCACCCTGCCCATTAACTGGAACATCGAAGATGCGAAGAGGTCCATGATCCCCAAATTGATCTCTAAGAATCCAAGCTACGTACTCATGATGCTGGGGGTAAGGCTCTCCCACGTCTACCAGTAACATAGAATGATACCTAATATACACACTTCCATCCTCTAAACGGTGCTGAGTAGCTGTCCGCCCTAACTGGTGCGGAATCCCAAGACGCACAGGAGCATCCGGCTTCATCAGGTCCGGGGGTCTGAAAAGTTTGGGTTTATACAACAATGAGACGAATCTTAGCGAGTAAAAACCCCTAAACCTAAACTAGGCTAACATGCACCTCCTGACAGGCGACCAACCACAATCAACCAGTACACAACTAGTAATAATAACAATTGACCTAGGCCCTTGGGCCCAGATCACCTACCTCGTTGACCCTGCAGATTAGGCATTTTAAATAAATCACGGCACATACGTGACACACTGGTCACACGTACGCCATACGCATGCTCATGCTCAATAGTGCTTGTCTCATACATAGATCACTGGTACGCAAATTGGCCACATACTCTGGCACACATTTGCCATGCTCATGATTTAGCTTAAACGATGCACTCTGGCACACGACTCATTTTACAATTTATAAACCGACCCGAAGGCCAACAGTTATAAACCGACCCGAAGGCCAAGACCCGAAGGCCAACAACACTTCACGGCCCGCGCCGAAGCACATGTGGCCCGGTGTCTCTAGCCCGCGTAAACGCATCATGCACAACATCGATCTCCTTAATCTTCCGGACAAACCGGGCATCGGCCTACATAAACGCAACGGACGAAATCGACCCGAAGGCCATGACCCGAAGGCCCTTAAGTGATCACACGGCACATTGCCAATTTTATCTGAACCCCGCGTAAGCGCATCAGGGCATTTAGGGTGATCACACATGCTCATGTCAGGCACGCAAAACCGCACAATTTCGTCTCATGCCCATTCTCAGCATACGGACTGCGTGGCCATGCAATATGAGCATTCAATTACAATCACGAGCATACGATTCAAATAAGCCACAACATGCTCTATAGGTGCCATAATATGCTCACTAGCCATGACATGCCACAATTATGCCATAATACATTCAATTCGCACCTCATTAGCATATCCAATAATTCAATTGATATACAACTCGGCACGGCACCAAATTCACATAATTAATGCGACATAAAACCACGTATTCGAGGCTCGACTTTCAATCTCATTTTCGGCCATTAAACAAATACACGTGGCATCACACAATTGAACTCAATCAAGTATCAATTAGCCATTGAATTGCTTAATTCGGACAATCACGACATTAATCCAATTAATCTCAATTTAGTCAATTTTAATCAAATTCGGATCCAGTGGGGACAGCCACAAAGCAGCCTACATTAGGGCACTAATCCTCATCTTAATTAACTTATTAACTCTCAAATATTCCATATAATCAGCCGATGGTCATCAGCCCATAAATAAGCCTAAACCCATCTAATTAACCCCTAAAATCCACATAATCCTATCTAGAAATGCATTATAGTCCTAGTTAAGATTTAGGAGTTAATTACTCACGCTAACTAAGCTCCAAGCTCAACTAAACGACAGGAGAACGAGCGGCCAATTGCCGACGTGCGGCGGAATCGGTGGCGGCATCCCGGTGGCGTCTACGGCGGTGGCGCTTAGGCGGCGGTCCAGTGGACCTTGGCCGAACCGAACGGCGGCGAAACAGGGGAGGTGAGGCTGGTGGTCGCAAGGGAGGAGAGAGAATTCAAGTTAGATGGTGACGGGTGGTGGCGAACGGCGGCGGCCGGACGGCGTGCGGCGGTGCGACGTGCTCTGGCGGTCGGCGTCGCTCACGGCAAGAGGGAGAGAAAGAGAGAGATTTTCGTGAGGGGGAGAGGAAAGAGAATTGGTCGGATGAGTGAGGGAGTAATGGGGGAAAAACAAATTTATTAATGGGTCAAAGGGATTTGACTAACATTTCCAAAAATTCCAAAAATGCCCTTGAAGGCTTGGCCCACATTAAACCTTTATCCAAATAATGGAGGGGCACTTTGGTAATTCTTTTGCTGAATTATTGGGCTGATACAAGGCCTATTTAACCCTTAAATTAATCCCCAAATATCTCCAAAAATTCGGAATACCCAAATTAAGCCTAGGGGCAAAATGGTCATTTTCCGGTTTCGGGCCGAATTTCCATTTTTCGACTGTACCAACCCCAAATACATGTGGCCACACTAAAATGACGTCGTCCACGTGAAATAGTTGTTCACGATCCCGAAATCCGACGTCCAAGTCTAGATCCAATTCCATTATAAAAAATGCTCAATTTAAATTTTTAGGGTCTCTCACTAACGGGCGGCTGTTTAGGGGTTACGCGTATCGACCTAGGGTTATTCGAGTCGTGATGGTCTCGATTACCAGGAGAACGTGAGGAATTATCGCTAGTTCCAGAGGTCGCGATCGTTCGGTTTAAATTCGGGATTTGTTCGCCACGCGTACTCTCGGTCGTGCGGAATCACCCGCGATCCGATCGTACGTCATTGGCTAAATTAAATCCGTCACCCTCCTGGGATCGGCCCACGTTGGACCAAAAAATTTCCCCGTCGTTTCTCAGAATCGGTGCCCGATTCGCGATCGGGTCCCTGGTCCACGTACCGTTTCCTAATTAGCCATTACCTATCGGATATAATCCCGAGAGAGCTCAATTTCGGGCGAGACTTACAAAAATTAAATGAGGAATAATATCAATATTATTGATCCTGGAAATGAATCGAAATTCAAGATGTTACAATTCTTCCCCCCTTACAAAAATTTCGTCCTCGAAATTTGCAATCTACACTAAACTATCCAAACAAATGGGGGTGCTGACGTCGCATGGCCTCTTCACTTTCCCAAGTGGCACCTTCGGTTCCGTGGTACTCCCATACGACCTTGACCATCGGAATTGTCTTATTCCTCAGCACACGATCTTTCCTCTCTTCGATCCTTACTGGTCTCTCCACGTACGACACCCTGTCGTCCACGTCTATCTCCTCGTACCTTAGAACGTGGGTCGGATCTGGTTCATACTTTCTCAACATTGACACGTGGAATACATTGTGCACTTGGGACAAATTGGGCGGCAGTGCAAGTCGATAAGCCATATCGCCAATCTTTTCCAGAATTTCAAACAGTCCGACAAACCTTGGACTTAACTTTCCAGAATTTTATCAGGGCATTTAGGGTGATCACACATGCTCATGTCAGGCACGCAAAACCGCACAATTTCGTCTCACGCCCATTCTCAGCATACGGAATGCGTGGCCATGCAATATGAGCATTCAATTACAATCACGAGCATACGATTCAAATAAGCCACAACATGCTCTATAGGTGCCATAATATGCTCACTAGCCATGACATGCCACAATTATGCCATAATACATTCAATTCGCACCTCATTAGCATATCCAATAATTCAATTGATATACAACTCGGCACGGCACCAAATTCACATAATTAATGCGACATAAAACCACGTATTCGAGGCTCGACTTTCAATCTCATTTTCGGCCATTAAACAAATACACGTGGCATCACACAATTGAACTCAATCAAGTATCAATTAGCCATTGAATTGCTTAATTCGGACAATCACGGCATTAATCCAATTAATCTCAATTTAGTCAATTTTAATCAAATTCGGATCCAATGGGGACAACCACAAAACAGCCAACATTAGGGCACTAATCCTCCTCTTAATTAACTTATTAACTCTCAAATATTTCATATAATCAGCCGATGGTCATCAGCCCATAAATAAGCCTAATACCCATCTAATTAACCCCTAAAATCCACATAATCCTATCTAGAAATGCATTATAGT